TAGACAGGATTTGCAATATTATTTTTCAGGTCAAATAAAAATAGTTTGGGTCAGTTTTATTTAAACTTGATATAAAGGGTGAGAGTTGCATGCCTAACTAATGGATCAGTAGATAGCATTTTCAGTTGATAATTAAATATCACAAATCTTTCTTCAAAACAGGTAAACAAAAGAAAATCCTAACTGGTAAATTTTTCTATAACATCTTTACAACTTGATTTTTCTCATGTTACTACCTTAATAAATCAAAGCACAACTAGAAATTTTGAAATTCACCACTACAAGAATCTTTATGAGGACTGAAGGCATTTATCAAAAAAGAAAAGAAATTTCAGGCAAAGGATCTGTGATTGTTCTCACATGATTCTCCTCCTCACTCACAATATATCTCCTCACAACTCAGTTACTCAGCAATCTAATGCAAAAGAAAGATAATATAAAATTTTTTTTAATTAAACACCTAATGAGCAGACAGTTATCTTTCTAAGGGACATCTTCACTTTTTCCTGTTTCATGGACCAAGTTGCACTGATAAAAACATACTCGTGAAAAAAGTGGAGATTGCAGGAGAGCATCAAAAGACTTTGAGATGATAAATACTTCACTGGGTCCTGTTGCCTTTACACACTACATTTCTGCTTCTTCTGGATTTGACTCTCCTAATGGCTTGAGATTCTGTTGTGTTTATTTATTTGCTTGTTTGCTTATTTGTTTTGGCTCTGGTTAGCTAGCTTACTTTTTTAACCATACTTGGAAATAATATCTGAGATTGAAGAACAGGAACTAAAATATGGGGAGAGCAATCTCCGCAAAATGGCAGCACAGGAATTCCTAGAGCTTGTCCTATCCCCAGAAACATCAACTTAAACAACTATCGACATGCAAAAATAATTTTATGAGACCCAAGAATTCCAGGTAAGGAATTACAGCACCTGAGTGTAGCACAGAAATTAAAAAAGATGTATCAAGGAGGTAGGAAAGATAGCTTCACATTATTCTCATAACCCCTTCCTAAGCCCTGGCAGCCCAACACACAGAGAGATACTCTCCCCATAGGAGAAGGAGAGAGAAGTAAGCCCAAATTCCAGGCCCACCCCAATGGTCCCTGTGTCTTGACTGGCCCTGTGGACCCACAATCTAAGCCTGCCCATGAAGATCCAGGTCCCAGACCTATCACCATAGGTTCAAGGGCTAGTCCCATCCACAAGGGTCCAGGCACCATGATGGTCCCTGTGTGCACAAAAAATAGGCCTGCCCACTTGCCGACTCAGGCACCAGACCTGCCCACCCAAGGACACCAGCAGCAAGCCTACCTGTGGACATCACCAGACAGTTCACCTAGAATCTCTTGACAGGCTGCCTGGTGAAGGGCTCTCTGCCTATCAAAGTCAATCTGTAAAGACTGGAAGAGGTGTCTGTTTCCTCAAAAGTGCAGGCACCAATGCAAGGCCACAGGATTATGAATAATCAAAGAAACATGACACCACCAAAGGAAACTAATAAAACCCATGAGTGACTTTAAAGAAATGGAGGTCTCTGAACTGTCTGAAAAAAATTCAGAATAATCCTCTTAACGAAATTCAGTGTACAAGAAAACACAGGTAGACAACTAAATAAAACTAGGAAAACAGTGAATGAACAAAATGAGAAGTTGAACAACAAAAAAATAAAAACCATTAAAACTAGAAATCCTAGAACCGAAAAATGCATTGATTGAACTGAAGAATGTATTAGTCTTCAACAATAGACTCAACCAAGCAGATGAAAGAATTAATGAAATAGAAGACAATCATCTTAAACTATCTAGTCAGAAGAACAATAAAAATTAAATGATTAAAAAAAGCCTACTTTAATTATGGAATGCCACTAAAAGAAACAATCTACACATCACTGCAGTCCCAGTATGAGAAGAGAGGAAAAATAAAGCACAAGGCTTATTTAAAGAAATAATGGCTGAGAACTTCCTATATCCAGGGAGAAGTATGGATCTTCAAGTTCATAAAGCCAACAGGTCACCCCAAAATTTTGACCCAAAACAATCTTTTCCAAACACTTTATAATAAAACTGTCTAAAATCAAACACGAAGAAAAAAATGTTAGAGGGAGGGTGTGGGAAGGGACAGACTGGGATTTCAAAATGTAGAATAGATAGACAAGATTATACTGTATAGTACAGGGAAATATATACAAGATCTTGTGGT